CCGGAATAATCCGGATCTCTGGGGGGAGTTCATTCCACAGGGTGGGGGCTCCCACAGAGAAGGCCCTCCCCCTGGGGGTCGCCAGCCGACACTGTTTGGCCGACGGCACCCTGAGGAGGCCCGCTCTGTGGGAGCGTACCGGTCGATGGGAGGTAATCTGCGGCAGAAGACGGTCTCGGAGATACCCAGGTCCGATGCCGCAGATGGTAACTGTCCCTCTTCAACCAGCTGCCCACTAACTCGCCGAGGTCCCACATGGCCAGATGCATCCCAGCACCCATGCACTCGCTGGCCTCTGTGTGCAGGGGCCAATGGTGTCAGGCAGCAGCCGCCCCGGTCTGACCTTGCCCTGTGACAATGGTACCCCCGCCCTGCCTCGCCTTGCCTCACCCTGCAGGACGAGCCTCCTGCCCACCGCCCCACCTGCCAGAGACCCCCTGGATCTCTTCCAATCCTGCCCAGCCCCCACAGGCGTCCCTCCTGAGCAACATCAAGGTGATCACGCCCACCTTGGCCACACCCACCCAATCTGCCATGACCACCACAACCACACCCACCCAGTGAGCCACACCCACCTGGCACCCAGTGATAAATAAGTGGGTTTTGGGTTGCAGTTTGGGCACTCGGTCTCTAAAAGGTTCGCCATTACTGCCCCAATCCTTCCCCCCCACACACACACACTTAAATTCCCCGTAGAGTAGCAAAAATCCTTGTCTTTCAGTTTAGATGTGCACCATTGTCACAGCTGAGGTAGGGGAGGAATCCCTTTACAGGTGAGGTTCTTGCTGGGGAGAGAAGCTCGAACATCGCAGCAATTTGAGGCGCTTTGAGTCTTACGGCTGCTTGTAAGCAAACTGTAAGGACCCACTTTACATCTCAAGAAGACAGAACTCTTGGAATATCTCTTCCAACAGGCGTCTTTATTAAGAGAAGATGGTTGCAGGCGTGCTAGACAGGATCTGAGGGGCCAAGCCCTACCATTCAAGGTTTTAAGTGTTCCCAAGCAGCCCCCCACCCCACCGTCCTTCCAGTGACAATCCCAGGCGTTATATTTCCACCCCCTTTTCCTCACGTCCTGCGGAAGGGAGACTTCAGAGAGTAGTAGATGAAAGCTGATGGGCCATATTGTTATGGTCAGTCCTCTTGGTGAGAATCCACATTCAGTCCCTTTGAAGTTTTAAGGAAGGAAGTGAGAGCCATAAAACCCCTTTGCTCATCCCCCTTCCCCTTCGTAGTATGACAGAATCCAGAGAGGGCAGAAATGGGGTTTTCCATAGTCGATAACTAGACATGAAATATAATTGGATTCTGACACAAACACTGGATGCTTCTGCTGGGCTCCTTCTACCAGAGACAGCGACTAATCCTAGCATGTAAGGATCTCCCGTGGCTTGATTAGAGCAGAGTCCCCCAACTTTTCCAGCTTCGTAGACCAGTAGGGGGGAAGTGATGATTCCGTACAAGCAGTGGGCAAGTGCCCGCACGCAGCTCCATTTGGGCAAGCAGTGGGCACACATCCCCACCGCGTGCCCAAATGGCACGCATGCGCAAACATTCACTTGTTGCGCACACAAGTGGGGATGCGCGCAACACCCTTGCCCGCCACTTCCGTGGCCCAGTTCCAAACTGCTCAAGGCCCGGTAGTGGGCCATGGCCCGGAGCTTGGGGACCCTTGGTTTAGAGGTCATGTGAACCTGACGACTCGGGTTGGTTAGGACAATTTGCTGTGACTGTCCCTTGGCTCTGTTTCCTAGGAATTACGTTCTTCTGTGGTTTGTTTTTTAACCCCTGCCAAGAGAGAACGGGTGGGGAACCTTGAGGCAAAGGGTTTTTTTTAATGCTGCCACTGAGTGCAGCTGATGCTTTGGATCTGAAATGTTCTTTCTCTTTGTGGCTGGCAGGGCAATTTAGTTTGATCTGTGCCCTGAGGGGGGGTGACGCATTTTAAATCTCTGGTTCCATCTTCTCTTCCCAGCCCCAAAGACTGTGGTTGGAGGCTGTGCATTTCATAGGGGCAGCTGTCATGATTGCACTCACTCTGGCCCCCAGTTTTAAGCTTTCAGAAGCTGAGATGTAGCCTCTCGTCAGCCATCTTGAGAGTGTGGTTTCTTGTCCCGTTCTTTTCCCAAAGGTGCTTTTTCACGAAGCAACTGGGCTTTCTTGTTTTTCTTTGAAGACGTTTCGCTTCTCATCCAAGAAGCTTCTTCAGCTCTGACTGGATGGTGAGGAATTAAAGATTTATATGCCTTGCAGACAGAGCTGGTCATTTGCCTTCTTTCAGAGAGCCGTTGAGGCCACTTGGAGGTTTATCTGTGTCCTCAGGGTCACCTGAGTGGTGCAAATGGGTGTGAAACAGTCCTTTCAGCAGTTCCAATAAGAGTTCACATCCATTTGCACCACTCAGATGACCCTGAGGACACAGATAAACCACCAAGTGGCCTCAATGACTCTCTAAAGGAATGCAAATGACCAGCTGTTTGTTTTTCTTTGAAGACATTTCGCTTCTCATCCAAGAAGCTTCTTCAGCTCTGACTGGATGGTGAGGAATTAAGGATTTGTATGCCTTGCAGACAGCTGGTCATTTGCCTTCTTTTAGAGTGTCATTGAGGCCACTTGGAGATTTATCAGTGTCCTCAGGGTCACCTGAGTGGTGCAAATGGGTGTGGAGCCTTCTTGGAATTGCTGAAAGGACTGTGTGTTCCACTCCCATTTGCACTACTCAAGTTGTAAATCAACTTTACCACAGGACACCCGATTTCCTTCTACTAATGTTTGCCTTTAAAAATCACCATAGGTTAAATAAATAAGGCTTTCAAAACTTTCAATCCCAATAAATGGGAGGCAATGGGACCAATGCTGATTATTTTTTCTGGCTGGAGACAAGCACGTTATGGCAAAAACAGTAAATAATAGAAGAGAATCCTTTATTGGCCAAGTCTGATGGACACACAAGGAATTTGTCTCCGGTGCAGAAACTTTTCTCAGTGTATACACCAACATCAAAGTAATATAATCATAAGATACCAATAGGAGAGGTGAATAGGAGAGATGAGAACGATCATAGTAATACAGGTGGT